AGTCTACCGGAGAACGACGAAATCATGAAGTTTCTGGCGATCTGGATTTTCATTTTCATTGACTGTCTTTACCGTTTTTTGTACTTTCCCTGGTAATTTATGTTCATGCAATTTATTTTGATGCAGTTTACATTTAGCAACTTTAAGTTTCTGCACTTTCAATTCCTTGTCACATACTTCTATGCAAGTTAAGGTTATGCGTTTAAGAACCTCGTCATTTACATTTCTGCAATTTCGATTTCCCGTTATTTACTTTCCTGCAATTTCGATTCTTTGCCCTTTTACACTTAATGCAATTTTGAGGTTTCCGCACTTTACATTTTTTTTTTTGCAATTTAACATTTTGTACTATCTTTCGATTCGATATTTTACTGTTTTCTTTACTTCGCGTCTCTTAATAAAAAATACCAAAAATAGTACTTTCGATTTGCATACTAATTTGTGTTGTTTACATTCTCATGCATTTTTCGATTGAAAATCAGTTGCTAGCCTAAACAAAAAGAATCTACGTGGTTAAAATTTGGTTAGAACCTAAGTCTAGATTTAATCGAAATCGATCAAATTTTCACTGAAACACATATACAAACATAATATATATATATATATATATATATATATATATATATATATATATATATATATATATATATAGTCAAAGAAGATGTATTTTATTAAATATAAAAAAAAATGAAAATCGAGAATGTCAATCGTAAAATAAATAAATGTATAATATGGAGTATTTCTAAAACGGTGGTTTATTTTAGAAATCAAAATGAAGGTTTATTATATTAAAATTAGTAATTAAATTTTAAATGAATATACAATTAATTTCATGAGTTCTATATTATTTAAAAATTTAAATTAATAATAATTTATATATATTATTATTTTTTTAGATTCTAACGAATTTTTTTACTTATATTTATATTAATATTTATAATGCTTTTTTCTTTCTTAAAATTTTATAACTTATCTTATAATTTTTTATTATTAATATATATTTTTTATATTTAATATTTCCATCCCTTCATCTTTTAATATTATTTTATTTTTTTTATATTTATTTACTATTTATTTATAATATATTATTTTGATCTTCTTAAGATTAATGCTTAAAATTTATTATTATTTAATTTAACGTGATGTCTTTAAATTTAAATTTTAATCTTTTATAGACAAAATTAGTGAAAAATTAAAGTTTTAAAATAAACAATATTTTAGATGTGATAATTTATTTATTATTTATTTATAATATATTATTTGTTCTTCTTAATATTAATACTTAAGATTTATTACTATTTAATCTAGCGAGATGTCTTTAGATTAAAAGTTTAATCTTTTATAGATAAAATGAGTGAGAAATTAGAATTTTAAAACAAATAATATTTTAGACGAGATAATATACTCTATAACATTATTACAATGAATATGAGATCAATTATTATTTATCCTAAATGAAATATTAATATATTTTAAAAAGAAAATAATAAAAGATTAAAGTGTAAAAACTAACAATAACTTTTAATCCTTAATTAAGAGTCCGATCATCCATGTGATTCTAAATATATATATATATATATATATATATATATATATATATATAATCTTTATAAGAACATATAGTTACATGTTTTTATCCACAAAACGAAATTAATAATTTTGAATCAATGATAATAACTTTTCAGTTTATTCTATAACCTAAACCTCTCTCACGTTCTTGGCATGTGTAAATTGACTTATTAAATAGTAAGCTAACAATAAAAGATAGATTTAAATAACATGTTAGCAATAGTGTGGTCGGAAGAAGAGCTTGCACGGTAGATGTTTGTCTGGGATGCTGATTTTCTAACGTGGAAGCTGCCAATACAGAAGTAAAAGAGAAATAATATTTGAAAGATACAGTTTGGGAAGTTAAACTATTTTTTTATTATTATTATTATCGATTGAAATTAAATTATTGTTGAAACACAAGTTGGGAACAATCATAGAGTTGAAAGTAGCATGTGCATGGAGCATGGCTAAGGTCTACAAAATGTGGTTGGCAGACATAACAGTTCACTTCCAACTATTTTGCTCTTGAGAAGTCCAATATTTTGGAAGACAGTGATATGCAGAGATTCCAGCTCAAGAATCACTTCTATGGAGCTTCTACTAAGAATGAGAATTCAAAGACATCAGAGAAATTAAATTATGTCCACATCTTCATCACCTTGCTAGTGATATTGGAATGATCCAAGAACGTTAAGTTTCAACTCTGTAGATGGAATAAAATCATTCTTCATCAAGCTTGTAGCTGGAAACTCCAATAATATACGTGCAAATTCAATCCCCACCAACCACAAAAAGTTGACATGTTTGAAATTATAGTGAGTTTAAATTTTATACTAGAAAGTGGAACACGTTTGGATAAAATGCTGTATCATATTCTTTAGTAATTTTATTAGTAAATATGTTTTTGTTATTATCTTATCGACAAATTTGATTGCGATGTAAATTTATGGAAATATAGCGAAACCAAACTGTGAAAACAAGTCTTTGAATAAAGACAATTATTGAACATAATTGACTAGTGTTAATTTTCTCCTGAATTAGAAGGCATCTATTGGGTGTAGTCACCACCAAAGGACTTATGGATTCACTTAAATCCGTGTAATATAATCATCATTTCCTTTTTATTTCACGATGCTACAATTATTCTCTGCCATGTTTCTCTGTAAAAGATTCATCGCTTTATTTGATAAGAAATGTCATGGGGACCCCTACAAAACCTCATTCTCGAGTTTGCTAAGTGTTACTTTTTGTACAACTCAGCTATTATTTTAGGACCCATTGTCACATGGACTCATGTACAAGCATTTGTATTTTTTTTTATACAACTCTTCAGAGAATTTCTTCATGATGTGGGTGAGGTGAAGCTTTGGATAAGGGGTTCCAACTCCCAAGTAAATTGAACCCGGAAGATATATCTTCATTTCGAGTCAATTTGAGTGGCTGATGGATTACAACAGTGTCAGCAAACAACATGTCTTCAAGAGTACTCTAGAACAAACTAATTGGTACGAATTCAAAAGGATACCAAAGTTTTTTTTAATTTCTTTTTTGGTTATACCAACACTTGAGCTACTTAGATCACTATCACAATCTCGTGTTCTTTATCTCCCCATAAATTTCTGTCCACAATGCAAAAGCTAAAGCTATTTATTTGGGTAACTATTTGCCTTTGAATATGCAACAAATCTGTGTAAGTACATCCACCAACACAAGGGATTGCACTTTATCACGGGTCACTTAACTTTAAAAGTCAATGTTAAAAATTCGTTTATAAAAAATATTTTATGTTTAAAAATACTTTTAAAAGTGATTTTGTTTCTTTTTTTAAGGTGATTTATATTAGTTATATTAATATAAACCCACTTCAAGTTGGAAACGTGATTTTAGAATATAAGCAAACAGCCACTAACTTAATTTCAAGTCAATTCTATGTGCGGAAAAGCCAGCTGCAATGCTTATTTAGAGGCAAGGCAAGGAGAAGGGATGAGAACTAAACCACAATTTAGCATATATATATATATATATATATATATATATATATATAGTGGAAGTATATATTGGTCAACTTTGAGAGATGCATGTCTGCATCAGAAATTGAAGAACTATAATTTATAAAGCATTATGGTGCCACAAAGTGGCAGAATTTCTATTTTATTAGTGGCCAACAAGCATTGATGTACATTCCATAACACTGCGAAAAAATGCATCACCGTGGTTCTATTTTTCTAGCCATTCACACATGGGTCAACCAGAACCACTAACATAGTAACTCCACAATATGGTTCAATTGAAGAAAACTCAAAAGATAGTAGAAATAAATTCAAAGGTACAATTATTTCATTGGGAAAAGAAAGTAGGGAATTTCTAAGATTTGGAATTCATTTTGCTCTGCCATCGAATAAGCAAGTGTGTGTTGACTGTGAAAGTATGTTATCTGAGATCTTGAAAAGCCAGAAGATGACAGATTATTTATTATATCTATGACTATATATATAGTACACCAGTGAGATAAAAAAACAAAAACAGAAGAGCAAAGTTCATAATAAACAGAGAGCCTAGTTTTAGATCTCAACCTCCCTTTTCTAATAAATTCTAATGCGTGATACAACCGTTCCTTCTTTAAAACCTTCACATGAATTCACCCTCTTTCCTTCAGTTCTATAATCTTAAAACCACAAACATTTCACTTAATCTACCCTAGGTATCTTTTCCACCCATTTCACAATTTTATGACATAAAGGTAAATGTTAACGGCAGGTGACCTTCCACAACTGTAATAGGGTCGAGTAGACTCAGTTTTATGGTCCAACAATATCAGACATTTATATCCTTGTTCCCAAAAATGATAAAAATAAAGTGTTTCCCAGGTCAAAGAGACGTGACAATGGTATTGAATGGAATGGAATGGAATGTAATGTAATGTAATATTGGTTGTGTGATAAAACGATATGTCATTTTCTTTTCTCACAGTTATAGTTGAAACAGTATTAAATGCAAATATCTGTTTTAGTAGAATTGTGGTTTTTGTATGTAAATTGAAATGTTTAAATATGTGTTACATACAAATTAATCAAGATCATAAACACAAACTCCAATATTCTTGAACTGCTTGATATTTTCTCCGTCTATTGAATATATGTGTCATTTTTAAGAGGTGGGCAGTGATGAAAAAAGTACTGTTACATTCAGTTGTTGATGGGAGCATTGAATAACATTGAATTTTACAAACCTACAAATTAAATTCACCCATGAAAGCACTTACCAGACCCCATTTCTTTGTCATATTCTCTTGCCTCCTCTCAGAGCCTTTGCTTTAAATACTCCCCTCTGATAAAATTTATTGCAGACACCAACCAAAACGCTTCCCAAATCCCATAGAAACACAAACACCATCACATCCTCAACCTCCACTCATTCCTCACCGAGACAAAGGAAAGAAGATAGATCCAATGGGAAAGAAAGCTTTGAAACTTCCCTCTCTTTTCAAAACCAAAGAAGCACCAAGAAAGCATCAACACCATCATCACAATCATCATCCATGGCAATTCATACCCTCTTGTGGCCACTCCAAGACCCTCTCTTTCCGAGGTGGCCATGATGACATCTTTAAGACAGTTAACTCCGTGTTCTTCGACCCTTCAGAGAGTGTCATCGAAACTCCCAAGTCATGGTTCACAACCTCATCTGAATCTGCCAGCATCTCAACCGAGTCAGAAGACTACTACTGCTGCGATGGGGAGTCTTTGGAGATGTTGGTACGTGGTGTGAGATCAGAGAGGCTTTTCTTCGAGCCAGGTGACACAAGCTCCATCTTGGAAAAGGCCAAGGCAAGTGGGTTTCCCTTCAAAGAAAGTGTGGTCCTTGCCGTGGAGTCGGAGGACCCTTACGAGGATTTCAAGAGATCAATGGAGGAGATGGTCGAGTCTCATGGAGTAAGGGATTGGGAGGGGTTGGAGGAGCTTTTGACTTGGTATCTCAAGGTCAATGGTAGGAACAATCACGGGTATATAGTGGGTGCTTTTGTTGATTTGCTCTTCAGTTTAGCAGCTTCTAATAATTCTAACTCTTGTTCTGATTCAACACCATATTCTTCTGCTATTTCTTCTTTTGCTTCTTCCCCTATGTGCGATGAGATTGTTGAGCATGGGATTGCGAACGATGGTGCTGTAACATCTTAGCATTAGCAGTAATTTAGTATACTTCTTGTATACATTTGTAGATTAAAACAAATATTTAGTAAGAATTAATTAAATTAACTCCTCTTCATCATGTGTTATGTTCATGCTACGATAGTTTTTAATTATTAGAATCTTTACTTGCACATTTGTGTGCAGAGCAAAGGCTCTGAGAGCAGAAATGTAAACTGGTTCTTACTCATCTCTTCACAAAACACTTATTGAAGGGGTGAGGGTTCCATCTGTCATGTATCACATGGTTGCTGGGTTTTTGAACGAGACATTACACTCTACTTGTTTATGAATTATTGCCGTATCTCAAATTTGTCTCTTATTTATGGATCTCTATTATTATAATTTGTATACTTTTTATTTAACTAAATATGATACAATTCGGAAATAATTGAATTTGCTCATTGAACTAAATTCCTATTCCTTTTTTAAGCGAAAGAAAAGATACAATGTAATTTTTTTTTTGTAAAAATTTCAAAACTCATTTTGAGAACCTCTAATAATATATTAGATTAAGTGGTTTGGAGACTAAGATATTTTCAGTCCTTCTAAATTTTTTGAAGGTTAGATTTATTAGCCTTCTAAGTTGCTTAGAGACTCTATATATTTTTAGTAATTCTAAATATTTTGAAAGTTAGTTTTCCTCTGAACTTTTCCATGTTGTTTGAATATGTTTCATAAAAGGACAAAACCTAGTTTGGGTAGAGTTTGAAATACAAAAATTTTATGCACTCTAAAATTAGAGAGACAAAAAATGAACAAAAGACAAAAAAATGAACATGTTTTTGTTACAGAGACTAAATTACTAAATTTTTGTTGATGTAGAGCAGAATAAATCATGATAATTATTCAAGTAGATAAACTCGATCCAGTTTCCAATTGATGTGGATTGTTGAACAAAACTGACGCGGATATTCACATAATTTGCACTTGTAAAAATTAATATATTTTGATAATTAGTTAGTTAAATCACAACCTATTGAAATCCCGAAATGTCACCATTTGAAGATAAGAGGGGTTATTATTATTTTAGTAAAATTGATTCAATAAATAATACATTGTTAATTATTATTTTTAATCTGTGTAAAAAAAATAAACTACATTATTTTTTTTTATCAAAAGAGTATTTACCAACCGATGTTTAATTTCACATGGGTTTTCTATAGAAAAAATGGCATGGGTTTAATAAGATGCTTCATCTAATGAATTCTGGGGGTAAGGTAAAATAAGAAAAGATGGAGGTTTTCAGCTTTTAGACATATACCAAATTTTGAGGCAACTGGTAAGTGATTCTTTTAATAAGAAAAACATTTAATAATGGAGAGTTGGTCCACAGCTGAAATTGGTAAAGAAAGGGTTATTTGTTAGCATTTGGTTCGTTGGTTTTCCCCCAGAAAGGGATTCTATTAGCATTAAAAAAAAAAAAAAAGAGTAAATTGAACTACACGAATTGTTACTACTAGTGACCAAAAAAAAAAAAAATGATAATTTATTGCAACAACTCTAGTCCATCTCGTACTAAGTTGTATAGTAATATTTTTAATTGATTTTTTTTATTTCGATCATTTTTATAATCAATACAACAAATATTTGTTTATTTTAGCACTAGAAATTATTGCCATAAATTTTTATTTCTATTGCTTATAATTATAATCTATTTATTCTAGATTTTTTTTCTCATCTTTTTCTTACATAATTTTTTCTTTTTCTTTTTTTTAACTTTAGTGCTTACCTCAGTAGTTTTTTTTTTTTCACATTTTATGTCTTCGTCTCCACGTGTGTTAATCATATATGTTATGCTTGTCGTTGTAATCTACGGTTAGTAAAATTTTTTTAATTGTCTTATCGTGGATGTTTTATTGAGACAAGTTTATTTTATTTGTTGCGAGAGAGAAAAATAAAATAGAGCGTTAGAAACCTATATCAACAAATAAATACTTTTTTATTTGAAAAAAATAATGATGAATTCTCGTCTATTATATATATATATATATATATATATATATATATATATATATTAAATAATTTTTTAAGATTTAGGTAGATACACTATGGAATGTGATATTAATATGATCCGTATCAATATCAATTCGTGTGTATTATTAAATGCACTTTGAAAAAATTGAAGATTCCCTGTTTAAATCCAAATATTAAAAAAAAAGCTAAAAAAATCATGAAATAAAAAAGGGAGTGTGGATGACTTCTCTATAAATTTCAAAAACTCATTTATTTCTTGATATATTCATACTTTATTTTTATTTTTTTCTTGTTGTTTATATAAAATCATAAAATACAATTTTATAGGGTAAAAAATTAATGAAATTTTCATCAATCTTTAAAATAAAATGAAAAATTGTATAGAGAAAAAAATATATAAACAAAAAAGTCAACTTGGACTTTTAAATAAACTATCTTATGAGATGATTTTTTTAATTTCATATTTTTTATTATTTTTTATATTATTATTAGATTATTTTTAGATGTGTACAAAAACTCTTTTAATATTATTTAATTTCATATTCGTTATGATATAGTTATTAATATCAATTTTTATGTCTGAAATCTTGTTTTTGAGTTATTTTTTATAGTTTTATTTTTAAAACATATCTTAATATATTAAAAGAAGAAAGTGTATATAAATTATCTATAGTCTCGACTTTTAAGTAATATGAGACTCATATATGTATTAAAGTATAAGTCTCAATCAAGAACTAAAAATATGTATAAATGAAACGAAATTCTATTTTTAACCTTGACGCTAATATTTTATCTTAAAACAAATATATTCCGACTTGATATTATTATTATATTCTTAATTTTTAATAATTTTTATATTAATTTATTTTATAATCTAATTCTTGTATCATATAAGGAAATGACTTATACCAAAAAGATTACATTTACAAATATCTTATATGCAATATATAAAATACAAATATTGTGAGATATTTTGTATATAATCTATTAATATATAAATTGTTTAATTTAGATAAAAAAACAGTTTAACTCACATAAAATATTTTATTCTTATAAAATTTATATAGAGAGATATAGACAATCTCATTTATAAAGTAATAACTGTAATATATTTAAATGATTAAGAAAATGTATAAATGTTATACAATTTAACGAAAATTAATAATGATTAGTGTTATCTTTTATTTTATTTTGATTTTTTATTTCAGGAATTGGTTTCTTACGAGGAAGCAGACAATGGAAGCACTTTCGAAATTCTAAAGCTAAAATATACTTTCTATTGGAATTTTGAGTAATTCATTAAAATGAAAAAAATAGAATGTGAGTAATATAATTAAAAGCATTATGAGTGTAGTAAATTAGTCGAGTTTTTCAACCTAACACATCAAATATGACTCTCAACTGTTGAATCCTATCCATGGAATGTAAAGTCAATGTCACTAATTACTAGGTCAACAAATGGAATTGGCAAAAGATAGATGTTTTCTTTTTACGATAAAGACAAATACATTTTTTTTTCAATAAGATTATTCTTTTTTTAAATATATTACCCCTTCGATAAATATAATTATAAAAAATTGGTTTATTATTATTATTATTATTACGTGTTAGTAAAAGCACATAAAAAATTAATCTATAATATTTTTTACCGAAGGTCTATATTATTGCTACTATTTCTGAAAATAATTATAAAAAAAATAATTAATTGAGATTAAGGAGTCATCATGGTTTTTTCGAAAAAACAAAATTTGTGTGATGGTGTTTCTGGTGGAATTTCGATCGATTTCGACTCCTAAGATATTTTGATCCTAATCAAAATTCTACCACGTAAGTTCTTTTTGCTTAGGCTAGCAAATTAATTTTCAACTGAAATGTATATGGGGATCGAATTCTACTCGATTTCATAGATACTATTTTTGGTGTTTTGTATTCAGGATACTCGAAGTAAAGAAAGCGGAAAATATACCGGGAATCGAAAAACAATGCTGAAACTTAGATTGCAAAGAAACGTAATGCTGCGAAGATCTTAAATTTGCTTTAAGTGTAAAAGAGCAGGGAATCGAAACAGTAATAATGTAAATAACGAGAAATCGAAATTGCAGGAAATATAAAGGACAGTAAATCAAAGGTGCAATAAATGACTGAAATTCGAAATTGCATTAATGTAAAACGACCAAAGAATTCAAATACAGAAACTTAACTTGCATTGAATTGAAATGACCAAGAACCGAAAATACAGAAACATAAAATTGCTGAATATAAATTGCATCAAAGTAAATTACCAAGGAAAATACAGAAAGCGATAAAGGTACTCCGTGAGCATAGAAATCCAGATTGCCAGAAGCTTCATGGTGTTCGTCGTTTCTCCGGTAGACTTTTTCACTACTGATCCTGTTCTCTGCCAATTTCTGCCCCCCCTTTGTTCCTTCCTCCTTTTCTCTATTTATAGGGCATCATTCAAGCCTTCCAGGAGCAGTTAACAAAACTGCCACCACGTTCTACGTGTATGTTGCAGTTTATCTTCTACAATTTCCCACGTTCTCACGATCTTCGACTTCTATCATGGTTTAGAAACTGCTTCCTATATGTGCGTTTGACTATTCTTCCTTTCACGGTTTGACCAAAGTCTCGATGTCCACTTAGGTTGGCTTTCTTCACTCTCGATTTAATGTTTTCGAGAACTCCAAATTACTTACGATTTATTTTTAACCTTGATCTCATATAACTCTAATTTCTTAGTTTTTTATTCGACAATAAGCATTTGGTTATCATTCGCTCGATTCTCGATTGGGCTTCTCGATGTTATGTACTACGTACTTCTAATTTAGACATCAAATGATTTGTTGTCTATCTTATCGATTTATCAATCAGTCACATTTCTTTCCTTCGTTTTCGATCACTTTTCTCGATTTGCCACTAATAAAATGCCCCCTTGGAAGAATATGAATAGTTTCTGTTTATATTCTTTCAATATTCCCGCCTTAGTATTTGAAGGCCCACAGAACTTAGGGTTT